AAAAAAAAAAAAAAAAAAAAAACCAAATTTTTTTTTTTGCTCACCAAACTGATCAGACATTGATTGACCGGTCTCAAACTTTCAGCAGCAATGTGCAATTAACAACTTTCAAAGCTGTTAGATGTTGAAAAATCTATCGTTTTCAATTGCAAAACGATTGATTGAATAGATTTATTTAGATAAATGAACAGTTTATTTTTGCCAATAGTTTGTCACTGACATTTTCTGGACGATGCTGTACAAATCTAAATTTTTTCATTTTCCGGTCTACAACCTTCGCATACTAAAGAAAGTAAAAAACTACAACAAACATTTAACAGTTATGGTTGCTTTCTACAAATGTAAAAGTAAAAAATTTTTTACTGATTTACATGTGTTAGTTGTTGTTTCAGATACTAGAATATTTTTTAAAACTTCAGGAACTCCTGCAGATAAGAATAGGTTTCCTATTCAAAGCTCTTTTTTTTTTTGTGCTATTCAGTACTAACACTGTTTGTAAAGCTTCTTGATAAATTAACCAAAGCACAAAAAAAAAAAACTACAAGTGACGGAAAATACTAAGAAGTAAATTGAAAAAAAAAAAAAATTTTTTTTTATTTTATTATGTATGTCGCCGTCATTGTTGTTGGAATAAAATTGAGGGAAAAAAAAAAAAGTCTAAATTAACTTTCTAGAAACATTTAAAGTTATTTTCGATTAATCACAGCATTGACGTCATTGTCAGTCAGTTAAATTAAACTGCTAAGTTTCGTGACCGATACAGTGGTGGTGGTGGTGGTGGTGGTGGTGGTAGTGCTGTTGTTAATCGAAAAAAGACGCTGAAGCAGAATTTTATTGTTTCTACCTTCTTTGTTTCAATATTTTTCCAACACCTTTCAGCTATAATATTCATTTATTTATTTGTCTGCTTTGGGTAAACAGATGCTTGAATAGGATGGATAGAATATGCATAATAGAATGAATTGAGGAAGAGAAGAAGAAGAAGATAGAGGAGGAGGAGGAGGAGGAGGAGGAGGAGGAGAAGGAGGAAGGAGAGGAGGGTAGATGGATGGACAATAATAAACAACGTTGTTTGTTAGTAGCCATCATTAAAGTCATCATTTTTGCGTACACTTCTATAATTAAAAAAGAGGGGAAAAAAAAAAAAGCATCCGGATTATTTTTTTTTTTTGTTTTTACAACTAAGTGCTTAGCATAAATCTGTATTTGTAAATAAGGTTCAAAAAAAAAAAAAA